ACAATCATGTCTTCCAAGTCTTTTGATTCTTCAATGGTCGTTACCACATAATCAAATTTCTCTGTAACTAATCTAAGGATTTTTTCAATAATCCTTAAATCAGTCACCTTTTCATCAAGCCTTCTCACCTGGTTGGCAATCCCCATGACCCTTGAAATATGATCTGACACCTTTTTTGTCTCCTTCATTTGGATAGCTTCAAATTCACCTCTCAAACTTTGGAGGCGAACTTTCTTTGCCTTCTCTTTTCCTTTACAGGCAGCTTGAAGCTTCTCCCACAACTACTTTGCTATGGTGGCATTAGAAGCCTTCTCGAAGGTAACCTCATCCAATGCTTGGTGAATGAGAGAAACGGCCTTTTGATCTTTTTTCTTGATACTATTAAATTGATCTTTTTGTGCTTGTGTAAGAACACTTATGTCTTGAGAAGCTTCATATCCACTCTCAACAATTTCCCACAAATCATGTGCACTAAGTATTGCCTTCATTCGAATGCACCAATTGTCAAACTTTTTTTTTTTTTTGAGAATTTTGGAACCTATGATGAAATCAGATTCCCACTTGCCATTTGGATATGCTTTGATACCACTTTGTTGGATATAAATGGACTTATGAGGATTTTACAGTGGAAGAGGGGAAGGTTTGGAGACAGCATTTCTCTGAATTGACTTGACTTTCCTTAATTGAAAATGAGAACTTGAATAATTATTTATAGGTAAATCATGAACATTGGTTCTTCTCCCTAAATTAACTGGTATACATGAATCCCATTCTTCTAGATACATTATTAAAGATTATTCCTACCAAATACATGAACTGAGTATTAAAGGCATGTTTATCATCCTTTCAACAGTTCAATGACTTCTGCTTTTGAGTATATCAGGGATAACCAAGGAATAGCTAGTGAGGAGAGTTACCCTTACGAGTCAACGGATGGAAGTCGAAGAAATACCTTCCAATGATGAAGAGGGATTATTAAAGGCGGTAAGCCAGCAGCCTGTCTCTGTTGCCATTGAAGGCAGTGGGTATAATTTCAAGAACTATGGTGGTGTCGTTTTCACTGGAGAATGTGGCAATGACCTGGACCATGCTG